GATCGTGTTGTATAGTTTGAATTTTCTGCTCTCATTATGCTAGTTATTTCCAATAAAATGTGAGATTTGGGTTTTTTCCATCATTTGCTTGTTGTACTAAAATGGTATTTAATTTAATCGAGTGGCACATTTTTGGTCTTGGAGAACCGAGCTCATGTTCATTTATTCGCCAGTTGACTAACTATTCTTCGACAAAAGTTATGATGTCAATATATTTTTAGCTATAGGGATATCTGCCATATATCATACTTGTATAAACCATGTAGAGTTGGGCACTTTAGCAGTAATTTTCCTGTTTTTTCTTATTTTTATAATTTATATACTATTCTGATGTTGTTTTAGTTGTAAATGAGAGGCCTTCATGCCCTACCTTATCGAATGCCTGAGCTACATCAAAGAATATTACTGAACATTACTCGCTGTGCTCGAATGCTTCTCTGATTTCGTTAGTAATTTCGTTTACTTGTTCTACAGAACCATGTTTTGCACAAAACCCGAAGAGCCATCTTTGAGAGTAACATTTATTCAAATATATTCGAAAGGCTATGTAAGATGGCATCTGTGGTAAGTCTTTCCCGGTTTTATCTATCATGATGATCTGTGACTTTTCCCATGAATTTAGATTATGTCCGAAACTTGAAATTGCTTTTAAAAGAAGGAGAGCACTACTAAACCAATATTTGGTTGCTTCATTAGCATGTTTAGAGTAATATTATCTTGCTTTGACGATTTTTTTTCATCTTCTTTATGATGGTTTTAATTTCAAAATTTTAAATCTTGATAGGCTGCGTGCAGAGTTCGTCTCTTAAAATTTACCTTTTCAGATGGCTTGCGAAGAAAATTGCTCTTTCCTCTTCATTATTCTTTTTGTTTCAATATCTCTCTCTGAGTTTATTCTGTTAGCAATGTTAATGTGGGTACTGATATATTTTTTACACTTTAACCAGTTCGTTTAACGTGATGTTAGACCCATATATTTGTGATAGGACAATGAGTTAATCGTATGGTTTTCTTAGATCAATTGAATCTGGTATTTTGTTCCGAACACTGGGCCAGTATATCGTCTTACCAGGAACCGTTAAGTTTAAAGTCACCATCGCGATTTTTATACTCTCGCAACAGAGTATAATAGTTTTGTTCACCTACCGGTTGTTTATATCACCTAAAACTAATCAAAATAGATATATGATTATATATGTATACATAAATTATCAGGCTGATCCGTCCGTCCGTCCGCGAGTACAAGCGGTAGCTTGAGTAAAAATTGAGATATATTGATGCAACTTGGTACACATGTTTCTTGGCACCATCAGAAAGTTGGTATTGCAGGTGGGCGTAATAGAACTATTACCCACAAAACGCTATTAATTGAAAACCACTAAATGGCCATACTAAGCTCCACAATAAGAAAAAAAACAAATGGTATAAGGAAGGAGCGTCTGCATTTGAAAAAGTGGGCGTGTCCCCGCCCTCTAATAGGTTTCATGTACATACGTATCTACAGAGACATACAATTTTATTCCTGAGATGATACGAGAAGGCTTTATTGGAGCCGCTTTTAAAACTAGACGACGGCGAGGCACCGCACACATTTAGGTGAAAAGCCATATCTTGGGACCTGCTCAAGCGATTTCAACCAAATTAAGTAGGGAACCTAACTTTGATGTAACGCTGCAAAAGTAGGCCAACCCTACTTCGTATAAAAGAAAACTTTAAATTCCATCTGATTTTTTCACTTTCTAGTATACAAATCAATCATCAATATATATAACGAGATTAAACTTTGCACGAATGATGCCTTCGAAGTTTGCCACTTTATGACCAAAAACTGTTCAAATCGGACCAAAATTATTCAAGCCTCCAGACACCAAATATGTGAATTCCGGTTACTACTTAACATAAACTTGACCCCATAATACTGATATTAAAAATTTCAAACAGTGGGTTGATTTTACTCCATATACTAGTATATTGGTAGGTATGTATGTAAGGCACCTTAATGAAACTAACAGAGCATGTTTTTCTGTTAATATTATATAATAATAGGGTCTACCTGAACTTTGTCAAAGGTTACTCCAACAAACCCATAATCCTGCCATAATTTATCCTGTATAGGTATTTGCGCTTTCCAGCTGATTTTAAACCAGCTGAATTAAATAAAAGGGGCAAGTTTCTTTTAAAATTGTAAAATTATATTAAGAGTTTAGCATTGAATATGATTGAAGTTGGCTTATCCTCTGGTTGACGTTGATATGAAACTCACTATATTAAATTTAGCCTCTTCGGTTGAGTTTATATCACATATATCTCATTTTAAGATGATTTTAGTATAATTTTCGCTGACGGATGTAAAAACGGATTGAGTATTTTAGCAATTTTTGATGCTCTCAAGTGTTCAAATTATGAGCTTATTCATGTGCTCCTATTTTAAAGGCTTGTTACTAAAAAAAATTTAGTTTTTCAGTCATAATTAGGATTTTTGCGCACCTTTTTCGCGGATACAAACATCAAGTAATATCCGCTCTCAGGCTGCTTACCAAAAATATGCGAAAAATTAGACCATAGGTATTAAGGTTTGAATAAAATCAAATGTAGAGATATCTAGAATTACAATCTACAAAATGAAAACTTCGATTTATTTTCAAAAGTAATTCGCATGGATAACTCAGAAACAATGATGTCGCCAAATAATCATATATCGATACAGTCTACCACTGGATGTGAATAAGAAGGTCAACATCTACATCAAACTATTTTTCTCAAAATAAACTCAGCGATAAAACAATTTGTCACAGCTTTGGACGTGGAAAGATATTGCTTTAGTGACATTTGTAAAAAATTACCGAGCATAGTATGGAAAAGCTGAAAGGTGGAATATTTTTCACAGCAATTGCTGAAAGATAAAAATTTTATCAAAGTTATGACAGTCCTGGAAAGTAAAACCTATAAAAGTTTTATGTTGATAGTCCTAGTAAGCTGTCAGACTCTAGGAGCAAATTTGAGTACCAAGTTAGACTATCTCCGTGATCATCTGGATATATTTTCGGAAAATTTTGGAACTTAAAGTCACGAACGCGATTCAACCAGGATCTAAAAATAATACAAAATGGTATCAAGATTGTTGAGATCATCATATGATGGCAGATTACTGCAGGTCTTTAAAAGATATTGTCAACTGAAAAATTGTATAAGCTCATAAAAGGCGTATACATGAAACATAACACATGTTTTCGACATTTTTCTCTCTGTTTATTTAAATGTATCCTTATTTTTTCAAAAAAAATCTGATATAATAATTAAAAATATATTTTTGTAATTTAAATGAACAAGAGCAAATCTTATAAAACCATTGATAGTTTCATGAACTGTGCACACAAATCCTAAATCGATCTTATACTAACAAAACCACTGTAGTCCAGGGTAATTGATCAGCGTGAAGTGCTCAGTCTATTAGCCATGTCCGTCTCTATACTTGTACATTTGTCTGTCTGTATAGTCGAACTATTCCCTAATTTTTGTATGTGGAATGACAACGGTGTTAATAAACACATAATTACGCCACTCACAAATTACATAGGTTGACAAAATTTTTACTTTTTTTGTCACATAAAAATTTATACGTCAGTGTTTTTATGACACAAAACATATATTTTCTTAAAAATACAAATATCAGTTACATTTAGAGAAGTTATTGTTTAATCTAGAAAATATTTTTATAATTTTCGTAAATATTTGGCTTCAAGAAGGTTCTTTTTAAGTCTCCCACAATAATCGCATTCCTGCGCTTCTCCAACACCCAAATTTGCCGGAAAGAGTTCAGCACATGTATTTTTAAAAACATATTACACCAAAAAGCTTTATATGACATTATCCATTATTAAGTCTTCCTAATTTTTCGATTTATGGGTCCCTAGATTCGGACACAAAACATTTCCAGGCGAGTTTTTCCTGATCATTAAATTTTTCTTCAAATTTTATATCCTTTATCAGTTGCGGTATTTGTGGACCTACGAATGTTCCATTTTTAATTGACTCACTTCGAACAAGTTCCGCAGTAGAAACCAAGTTTACTGATCGATTTGGAGGCATTGACACAGGCAGTTCGACACTATGTAGGATGAGTCTGTTGGCCGAAAACAATTTTGGATACTAGATAGTGTGTTTGGACTTGGTTGCAATGCCTTTTATTTTAGTCAGAAAATAATAATCACTTACATGATCCATTAGTTCGATCCAAATCATTGGTATAGCAAGAGACATACATATGTCTGGGTTCTTGTTTAGCCCAACCTAATAGCAGTCTCACACACGGTACACAACATTTATGTGGGAAATCCAAAATAGTCTAAATAGCATTGTTCACTTAATGATATGTGACTATATGAGATCATAAATGTATGTAGCTGTCACAAAAAAACAATAAATTTATATAATATGTTGTTAATGAGGGTACACCAACTTAAACAAAAATCATAACAAAATTAGTGTTATTTGAAATATTTCAAACTCGGTGAATTTTGATTCACCACTTAACGCTACGGTCAGAGCAAAAGCGGTTCTATCCCAATCTATCTTTCTTTCTTTTTTTTGTAATAATCGGTTTTTAATTAACGATAATGAAAACCAAAAAAGTGAAAAAAAACTTTTTAAATTTTGCCTATTTTAGGTAAAGTAATCTAATATGACGGTAAAGCTAACCTAAACGGGAGGAAACGTTACACAAACGATTGCTATCGTATTTTGGGATCATTTCAGAACTATTTACATTATTAAATTAAATAAAATTTGTTAGAGTTTGGTTAATACAATAGTTAATTGTATTTCGTTAAATAAACACTTCCTTTTCTAAAACGGGTTGATGTTAAACCCGAACCGACATTTTTTCTCTATTTATTTAATTGTGCTTTATAATTTATCATAAAATTTAAATTAATACGCTCATAAATAAATGAGTACCTGAATTATAAATATTTATATATGTATGTATTTAGTTCACCTACCTTGAAAGATGAGGAATATCAATGTAATTTCCAGCCAGTGCCACATTGTGAGTGTTTATTTGTAGAACTTACGAAAATAGTCTGTGTTGTGCTGAAATCGCCTCAATTATGAATTCAGACAATTTTGTTGTAACTGTAATAATAATTAAAGTAAATAAATTATTCAGTTACTAAAACATTTTCATACATTCTACTGTTAAAAATATCACCGCAAATGAAGCTTCAAGCCCATTAACTGTGTTTAAATGCACACCTAAACAAAATTCACAGGGATTCCTTCTTAACAGTCGACCATTTGACACACCTTATCGCTAGCCACATACAAAAGTCACAAACTCGGATAAAGTGTTGTACCATGACACACCTCTTCCTTTCGCACCTTGTCGCATTTAACAGCGATCCTAAACAAATTCATTGGCCTATAAACTGCTGTGCCGCGTATACCTTCATTTGCCACCTATAATACAAACATAGTTCGTAAGTTACCAAACAAGGCGGCACACGTGCATGCTGTGGCGCTTAAAGCTTGCTGCAGACAAAGTAGTAAAATAGTAGTTGGTCGTATCGCAGTTACGTTTTATGCCATTAGGCTGACCGCACTTGGTTGGTTGCTGATGACATGTTTGAATGTATATAGGTGTGTGTATGTGTTTATGCGGCACTAATATCTCTACCTGCCGGTTGACTAGCCTGCCGGTTGGTCAGCGAATACTCATGGAGCAGGAAGGTGGTGGCGGCGACTGGGGTGAAGTGCGTTAAGGGCATGCGCCATCACACACAATGCGGCTGCGTGCCAGTTCAATTACTTAATTGCCATTTCGGGTACTCGCACACAAGTGTAACCAACTCATACAAACAATAAAAACCACAGCGCGCACACCTATCACATGTATGTTCAAATGCATGTTATTGTGTGCATATATAAGTACATATATGATACTTTCATTACAACCGCCGGCTGTTTAGTTGCCAAAGGTACTGGCTTTTAGCAAAGTTGTATTCATGTATGTGTGTGTTGCTATGTTAATACCACCTTGAGCTCTGTGCGTTCGCCGCCTGTTTATTCTATGTACGGCTTTGTAGAGTCCCTAAGTTGCTGCTTGTAGCTGAGTATCTTGATTAGTGGCACGCCGACCGCTTCAAGTGGCAATTTGTACACGAAATACCTTTTGGTACTGACTCACTCCTTCCGCGATTGTCGACATGCCGGTTGTTTGCTCTCGCGTGTACACATACTCGAGCACGCATATGTAGGTGTGGTTGCAGCGCTCGTGGCGTTCGCATTAAATGTCTGCTGCTGCCTATATTCCCGAATAAACACGTTCTATTGTGTGTTTTGTAGTTGTAGTAGTACAAACGTACATATGTACCTGCAACTGGTTTACACATTTGTAAATTGGCTACTGTTTACTCAATCGCATGGTAAATCCTTGTATTAGCGACTAAGTGAAGAACTATTGCAACTTTTTATGTGCTCTTTATCACTTCAATTTCTTAATTTTTACTAACTTTTGAGCATACACATGCGTATTTGAAAGAAAGATGACGGCTTAACTTGATTAACGTAGGAACGTGATAGCCGAATAAAATACAAAGGCGGTGCTGATTACATTATCTTTGACATGGGATTGATAGATGGCACCAATTCGTAATGTCTCTGTTCGCTAACTTGTCTTTTAGAAAATTTGAGAAGCAGCAATAAAGTTAGCAAGTAGAATTTGATACAAAAGAGTATGAGGATATCTCATGGAAGAGTTGTAACTGCTTTTTTCAAGAATTTTGTTTTACAGATTTTATTCTAATTTTACTATTGTGTAGATATCGTATAATATGGGCACTGCTAAAAATGGAGGTCTGGCCGGAAGTACTTTTAGTCTCTCGATCAACTAGTACAATATAATAGAACACGCCACACAAAGCGACGAATCGAAGACAGCTGACGCACTCATCTGGAATATATCGGTGGCTTCTTTAAATAGACTAGTTAAAGGCCAAATATTGTATCAGTTCACTGGCATTCGATTTTAAGCGACTGACTGAACTAAAGTGTACTTATAAAAACAATTGTACTAGTGATAGCTGGCAAACCATGCCACAACTTATATCAACAAAGCCGAAGTTGCTAATAATGAAATAGTTAGAAAAACATTAAATGATAATAAAAGACCTAGTGAACTTACTCAACAAAGTGTCACTACACTTCAAAGGACTCACGGCAAAGGAAAGTTTTCTACTTAAACATTCTTCAGGATGTATCAATCATCTCAAGAATCGTCACAAGATTTCGATTTTTATTTAGCGGCTCTATTGACGACTTCAAAATTGTTTTTATTCTGTAACGAACGGAGTCGAAGCTAACAACTGCCATCTTTTATTGAATATAATGATAAATTACACCCCTAAAGTCACTGAGAATTTGGATGTGGTCTGTATCTTTGCTCTCTTTTACTCTTAGTACCCATTTTAATAAGCAGTTCAGAGCATCTTCTTAAAAGTGTTTTGTTATTTCGACCCACACTAATGTAACACACGCCGTTTGTATTTATGTCGTTTATTCGCCTTGATAGTGTTAGTGAATACTCTATTTGATTCGTCACTATCTGAACTTCATTTAGCTCACGAAGGTAAGCAGTGTGTTTTAGTTTCGATTGTAATAAACAGGTATTGGTCACGTGGCTTGAAAAAGAAAGCGAACTTAAAGTCGCGCTTTGTTCAAAGCTTTTATACAATGAGAGTGAGTCCTAATACTTTAAGGGAATTAGGAAAGTACCTATATGTGAAAAAAGGGAAACCATAAGAAATTATGTTTCATAAGCTTTCAAATGAAAGTGCAGTATTTCAATTTTATAGCAAGATTTTATAGTAAGCCCTAATACATATTTAAGTATGTCTTACCCTTTTGATATGGTAACCTATTTTCTGGGCATTAAGAATGCAAAAGCCACTGCTTTCAGCAACAGCTCAAAAAATATCAAAGAAACTTTGTGCACCAACCCAAGTGAAACAGATTTCGTATTCGACATTCTGTTGCCATTTCAATGTGTTATCCAATTATTAAAACCATTATTGCAAACAAAGCTCATAGGGCTTTGAAGCAGCGCAAAGAAGTCGTGGAATGAAGAAGAAGAAGAAACTAAGAAGAACCGAAAAAAAAATCAAAAAACTATAGCAGACGCTGCTGAACCCAATGGCCGTCTAACGAACGAACGCACTCATATGAACCACCGGTGGGGTTGTGGCGACAATCGCGACTGCGGCGGCCACCCTTCGTACTCGTATGGTTGCAACGGCGCCGTAGCAGATGTGTGGCTTCCACGCGCTGTCCGATTGACCGTACTGTAGCTTACAATTGGCATATGTCTTCAATGTGAGTATGTACGTATATACATTCTTGTATTCGTACTCCTATATGTTTTATTATTGTTTTTCTTACTTTGTTTTAGTTCTAATGCTTCAAAAGTTTTTCACTTCCTTATTTATTTCTTGGCTGAATTCAAAAACACATTTATTTATACAACCTTATATATTTATTTTTTACGGGATTTATGTATTTGTGTGAGCATATATGTGTTGTACATGTTGCGCGCCTTCTTCAATTGTGAGATATAACAGTTGCTGTTAATGGCCTTTGGAAACTAATGCGCCACATTTCGCTCCACTTGGAAATTACATTTGCCCACTCAAAAGAAAAGAAAATAAGAAGGACACGTCAAGAATAAAAGTGTAAAAAAAGCATACATAACTTTTGCCTTCGAAATGTAAAGTAAACAGCTAGTAGTATTTTCATTTCCAGCGCCCCGCGACAGTTTTTGCAAGGTTTCGTTTTTTATTCGGTGCATATACATGTACACATATGTATGTATATACATATATATGCAAGTACACTAGTATGTATGAGTAAAAATATATTTTTTAAGAATAACTGCCAGCGGGAAGTTAGTAGTGTGAATACTTGTATACATTTTTTGGGAAAAAATAGCTGCGTGTGTTTAGGAAAGTTTTATGTTGCGGCCTCACTTCGCCGCTCGCAACAATTCACTTAACAGCAATCAAAGCGGATGAAGGCGGAAAAGGTTTGTTTATGTCACACAAATACTTGGAAGCCCACTTATTTACATGTTCGGGTAAATTAAGGGGTATATTATTTGGAAACCTGCTGACTGTTGAAATTAGGTATTTTTACTTTTCGGGGTATTTTTATACCCTTAACAGGGTATATTAAGTTTGCCTCGAAGTTTGTAACACTCAGAAGGAAACGTCGGAGACCCTATAAAATATATACAAATATGATCAGCATGATGAGCTGAGTTGATTTAGCCATGCTCGTCTGTCTGCCCGCCTGTCCATCCGTCTGTATATATGCAAACTAGTCAAGTTTGCACCTTCCCTAAGAAGCTGCTCGTTTGTTGGGACGGCCGATATCCGACCACTATGGCAAATAACTGCCATACAAACTGAACAATCGGAATCAAGTGCTTGTATGGGAAACTTTATTATCTGACACAATATCTTCACTAAATTTGGCATGAGTTATTTATTTTAAGTCAACAATGTAATATCCGAAGAAATTTTTGAGATCAGTATTAGGGTATTATAGCTTCGGTGCTACCGAAGTTAACGTTTTTTCTTGTTTTCGATTTTGTTTTACGAGTTGGCTATTATTGGTTTCTAATATTATTTATAATTCAGCGTTGCCATCAGTTCACTTAAATCATATCAACTTAGAACATTTAGCAAACTAGAACTTTACTTTCTCATGGCAAAGACTAATGCCGAAGATATATACTAATAAATAAATTTCATTTACAGACCCAATTAAATTTCTGGGAATAACAAAATGTTTCAGATTTCACAAGTTATTTTTGTAAACAAGTCTATAAGCATCTTATGAAACCCAAATCGATGATAATCCTTATTATACCCAATATAGTATAACTGCTGTGTTACTAACAAAACACTAAACTAACGTCTATCATTTGATGCGCGGGAAGCTCAGAAAGATTTTTGGAAAATTAAATTTGAATAAAGAGAATGTGCGACCTTTTTGAAGTTTTTTAAAGCAATAATAATGTTTGATAACAATAAATTATAAAATAATAATTAAATTTTGTAATTTTTAATTGTTTAATGTTT